TGTACCCTCGGCGAGGGGCAGCCCCATCCCACGTGCTGCACTCCCACTCTTCACAGAGCTGGTGCCCCTGTTTGCATGCTCAGCCTCTGCTGGGCTGCCTCCTGCCATGGGCACCTCCAGCAGCTGTCTCCCTCTCCTTGCAGAGGGCTTACATGGATCAAAACGGATGACAATTTACAGTAATCCTCCTCCCCGAGTTAGCCTTGCTGCAGGATAGACCTCATCCTTACAGATTTGCCACCAATAATTCCCCCAGATAAGTCAACCTGCTTCACTCCCTCCCCATAACCTTTGTGTGGTTGCTGGGATGGAGCAGGCAAGGGGAGATGCCACCACCCACCCCTCATGAAGGCAGAGTCCCCATCCCTCTTACACTTCCGTCACAGGTGAACATCGACCACCTCACCAAGGCGGTGACCATGGAGAACCTGGTGGAGCCATCACCAAACAGCTTTGACATGGCCCAGAAGAGGATCTTTGCCCTGATGGAGAAAGACTCCCTGCCCAGATTTGTGCGGTCAGAGTTTTATCAAGAGTTAATCAAGTAGCGACGTGGCAGGGCTGTGCGAGGCGTTCCCTGCGGGCGGTCCCACTGCTTCTATCCAAACACCTGCCCCTTCTGCAGTCGCTTTGCTTTCTTGATACCACCCCAGAAGAGCACCCAGGGGCGTTGCTAAACATCTCCCCACCGTGCTTTGGACTGTCAGATGTTGTGATAATTCCCTGCTTACAGTCTTTTTCCTCTCCCACACAAGACCAGTCAGCAGAAACTCCTGGTGATCCTTCCTGGGTTCAGGACCCAGGAGGGTGGTGGAGCAACCCCAGCCCCGCAGTGACCTGGAGTTTCAGCTGCCATGTCCCTGGCACTGCGGGGCTTGGCGTTAGCCAGAGGCCCTGAGGCACTGGCTTTGCCCTACTTCTTAGGACATGACAATATCTCTCCCAGTTTTGCCTGAGTCACTGGTTTGGCCTGGGCTTACCCCCTCCTCCCAGCTCCCCAGGGTGCTGCCGAGGGGCACAGGGTACCCTGTGGGTGCTGAGCCCAGTGCTCCTGCAACCCCAGCAAGGGGCACATCCACTGTGCAGTTGGCATCACCTTCT